CTTCCCCGGCCCTTCCCCGCCGCTGTCCTCTCTTACAGGGGTCTCTCTCTCCCCAGCGAAGTTTTCAGGACGCTAAGAGCTTCAGGAGTGTAAGGGGAATACTTGCTAAACTCTGCCTCCTCTATTATTTATGTCCAAGCATGGTGAGTGATCCTTCATCTCCAGGGCTTAATACAAGCTTTACAGTCGGAAAGAGAGAGGTCGTTCAAAGATGGGGTTAGGAATAAAGGAAAATGAAATGTCCATATGGGTTTTTCTTTTTTCTTTTTTTTTTTTTTTTTTAAATCCAGAACGATATTAGGGCTATCATAAGCAGCAAGATTAGAAGATTTCCATATATTATCGGTAAGAAACAGTGCTTAGCTAGATGAAAACTAAAGCTGGAACGGAAGCGTAATAATTACTGCGAAGCATCTTGCTTGGGCTTTCCTGGAGACCCTGCAGTTTCCAGAGGGATACTCGCCCGCTGGCTCGCCCCAGCCTCCCCTTGTCGGGCCATTTGGAGAAGCAGCAGTGCGTCAAGTAGCAGTGGTGAAGGAAAACTTTTTTGTAAGACACCGCCATGCAGAAATAATCCAGAAACCGGACTGAAAGAAAATTGGGAGCTGGAAAGTCAGAGCTGAATGCAAAAATGTAGCGTAATTTGGGGGGGATTTTGCTGAAGAAGGTAGACTTTCATAAGGGTATGGCTTATTTTCAGTAGAAAAGTGTGCAGTGTTGAAAGTCCCCGCTCGGTGTTTTCTAACTTTCATGTGGTGAATGAGGTTGTCCGTATCAAAAGCTGGAAATTCTGCATTAAAAAAAAAAAAAAGGCTAAAATCCTTATTTGTGACTCCTTAATCCTAAGGGGAGCTGTACAGGTCGCAAAGCACTAGGGAAAAGTGTGATTAATGATCAGTGATTAGTGATAAGTGATTAGTGGTTTTATTCAAACTGTTACCTCTGACCAGAAGCACACATCAGAGGATTAACAGGCTCTTTAGATAAATGCTCATTAGTGGAAGGGGGAAAGCAAAGATAATGGGCATGCACACAGGGACAACTTTCTAGGAAAATCATTCCTGTCTCTGGCATAATAAGCTCTATTAGCAGAAAGGCTCTTTAATTTAAAAGTTGCTTTTATCTTGTAAATCAAAGATAGATGTGGAAGTTCGCTGCGCTATTATAGCCTAAATTTTCCCATATCCACTAGATGTGGATTATCTCAGTAGTGATATTTTATTAAAAAAAAAAAAGCCACCAAAAAACAACAACCCAACAATTGAATCTTTAAGAAACTGAACATTCCCAAGTGCTAAAGCCCTGCATCCCGAGGGATCCGCTCCCCAGAGGCAGAGCAGAGCTAACTAGATGGCGCAGTCCTCTTCTCTGCAAGTATATAGTCCTGGGTTATGAACTCAGCAAGTAGCAGCTTGCTAGGTGTCCTTCAGCACTTTACAACAAAGTTGATTCTGTGCTGGGTTGCAGGCTAGACAGTGCTCCGAGTTTGTAGTCACATTTTCCACCTCAGTTAATCGAGTGAGTTAAAGGCTACTGGAAAAATTAGTCTCATTTACCGAAAGAAACGGTGAGAGAAAGGAGAGACCCAGAAAGGGGCAAATAGCGACAACCTGGGACTAACTCTTGACTGAGCTGTTTTCTACTGCTTTAGTGAAGTACAGCTCTGATGGCCTTGATTTCTGAAGCCTAAAAGCTCTCAGGAGTTTTTCCCCCAGCTATCACTGGCAAAGTGAGGTGGGTTTGGGTTTTTTTTTGTTGTTTGTTTGTTTGGTTTGTTATTTTTTAAAAAAAAAAAGTCACTAAAAGGAAAGCAGTTGACGTGGTGGTTGAACAAAACAACTTGAACCTGACTGTGCTCTCCAGAAAATGGTAAGGAAGCTATTTTTATGATAACTAACCAGGGATTTCTTACTACTCTTTATCATGCATGGATTGTGAAGAACTGGTATCTACCATAGATTGGGGGATGTTTCTGCTGGCCCATTAGCTTACGTGGGATTTATGTCTGTTTGTTTGCATCTGTGGAGATCATCAAAGTTTCAAAACTTTAAATGAAAAACTTGAGTGAAAAGGGAAATAGAAATAATGAACTTACGGCATGAAACAGAAGCTGCTGTGGTCTCCTATTGTTACATCTTTAATTGGAGACTGTTAGGAGTAGTCAGACTAATGCTTAAAATCAAAAAGTTTTGTAATAGCATATAAAAAAGGCAATAAGCTCTGTCTGCCACTCTTGAATATTGGATGGCACTCTTCCAGGAGTTAAAATTGCAGTATTTTAAAAACTCTACACTGTTAGAACAGTCAGAACCCTTTCCCCCTCACCAAAATTCCCATTAGTATTTCAGCTTCAATTTATCGAACTCTACCTCTGCTAATTTAACCCGGGGAATGTAAAGGGAAGGAAACCGTGTATATAGATTAAAAGAAAAGATAGAAGCGAGATTGTACATGTCATTTTATTTACATCACCATTTATCAGAATGACTTTCCCAGATAAAGTGTAATAGGCACTTTTTAATTTGATGCTCACTTCCTCACTTTGAGATCCTAAAACGCGCTGCAATCGCTTACGTTTATCCCGTGCCCTGCAGAGGAGTCTTCTGGAAAAGGTTGTTTCAGTGGGAGCTGGAGTTCGCTCCGCAGTTGATGAGCGAGAGGCAGTGCCTTCTGAAGGCAGCTTTTACCTGCTGAACCCTTCAGCTGTGTGGAGGCAGAACCTCTGTGAGCTTAGTTCAATGTTGCAGAGTGATTTGAAACTTGGTTATTAACCTGGCTGCATGTTGGCCCCCTTTAAAAACCTGCCTCTGCGCCCCTAATCAAGGCACGAGGATCTTAGAAGAGTTCTTGCAAGGCTGTTGGTGCTTTTAAAACAATTTATTTAATCAAAGACTTTTCCTCTAATCTTTGACATCCTGTGTCGCCAATCCCTGCCGTTAGTTAACTTTCTGGATTTTCTATAAACCTGTTGCTTTGAGGACTTACACTTATGTCTATGTATTATTAACCATCTTTCAAGCTTCATTTTAATTCCAGTGACCATCTTTTCTATAAACCCTTTTTTATGAGAAAATTATTTCTGAACAAGATTTTGCAATAAAAGAAGAGCAAACCTATTTCTACATTTTTTTAATTTTTTTTTTTTAATTATTATTATTATTAAGGACCATATTATTTATGATTGGAACAAAATGGTATTTTTTCTCCAGGCCCGCAAATGCTGATTTTTTTTGTAACTCGTTACAGGAAAACTCTACTCAATAGATGCAGTTGCTGGAAACAGGGATTCATGTATAAAGCAACAGGTCTTTCAGTTCTGCTTCGTAGGTCCAGGTGATTCCTTTGCTTTAATTTAGTTTTGGTTGTCTCATACTAACCAAATTAATAGGTAGACATATGTAATTAAGATAGCTTATTTGGCTTAATCTTTCCTGTATAAACTCTCAGTGCAATGAATACTCGTGGGTCCTAGTGGAAATATTTAAAGTGCTTTGAGATTCTGTCAGTCGTAAGGACTAGTGGTGGGGCCGATCAGGCAGCTGCCACTCTGACCTATCTCAAAACAATTTCTGTTGATTTGTCCTCTCCCTCTCCCCATGCTGCATGCTGTTTAACCCCTGAAAACCCCCCTTTATTTCTAGGTAAAGGATATATTCTCCACTGCAAATTATAATGCTCTAGGGCTTTTAGGGCTCTAGCCCTAAAATAGTATTTTTCGGACTTTTTCATTTTTCTGCCTTGAGAAATGATCAAAGTTGATCATAAATTTAAAGCAACAGTTTGGAGTAAGAACTATGAAAACACTTTTGCCTCTTACCAAAACTTATGTTACTGTGCCAATTGACCATTTTTAAGGTGTCGTATTCTCTGACACTGGCAAAACGGTGATCTCAGACAGTATCTTATCATGCTGTATTTGTACATTAGCTCTATTACAGCAGTAAGTACAGAAATTAGCTTTTGGAGACTTGACATGTGAAAACAAAATGCTGTTATGGAAATACTTTTTTTTGGAATTATACATATAATCAAGTAAGTGATTTGAATTGTCTCAGGAGTACATAACAAGCACAACATAACATACATAAAATAATTATTGCAGTGATGAGGAAAAAAGACTTTTCAAGCAGATAAGCTGTTGGGTCTGGTTGCATCCAAGGAGCTGTTCTGCTGGTTTGTGCATTGATCATTTGCTCCTATTATGACTCAGGCTGAAGGGGCAACCCTGGCACTTTAAAATAATAGTATGCCTACTATTTTTCACCGAGGTGTTATTTTACTCTGTAATTAAAAATAGTGAGAGTCAGCAATTTTTTCATTAGCCATCACATGGGAAATGCAGCTGTTATTTGCCCTTAGAGAGTTTAGAAAGGGTTGGTTGCGCTGGTTTGTAGGCTTCTAGATGGTGATATCAAATGCTATTTTATAAACACGAAGAGATTTTCCAAGGATTTTGCTCAAGGCTGTAGGGTTTTCAAAGTAAAACATTGAAAGCTTACGACAATTTCCTTAGCTTAAAAGATGTTTTGCTTTTGGTTCTTGTTTCCGTCCTATATTTTTCGAGAATTTGTTCAAGAAGTCAGTCCTGCACACAACTTCAAAATAAATGCCTCGAAACTTTGTCACCAGCAGTGTTTGTCTAGGTGTGCGGTTTTAAGGATCTCGTCCTTTGAGATGCCTCATGTCACTGTCGTGTCACCCGTCCACGTAAGGGGACTTGGAGGTGTGGGGTGCAGCCCCGCTTGGCCTGAGAGCTCTACTCAGCGGGTGATTAAAAAAAGGGCAACGTCTTTAGAAGAAGCCAGGAGGAACGAGATTTGAATTTAATTGGGGGAAAATACTACAAATCCTCTATTACCTTTGCCAGCATCAGGAGCCGATTCTGCTTTTCTTTGGCTCTGAATGTTTTTGTTACTCTTACTAGGGTACCGAGACCTCTGTTAGCTCAGGAACGGGGCATGGTTTGATCTCACCCGCAGCCTTCTGTCTCACATAAACTCTACAAATAGTTTCTATCCCTTTTTTTTTTTTTTTTTTTTAACCTGAGCAGTATTTTCTCAAATGGCTTTCTTTGCTCTCATCTCAATTTCTTTCCTTCTTGAGGGCCTTGTCTTTGGGTGCCACTGTTGAGTGAACATTTTGA